TGAGGTGTAAGAGGAGAAGCAGGAGGAGAAGACTTTGAGAAGAGTGCTCTACGAACGCCATGCTGATCCCTCGGAACTCAAGGTTCAACCAATCAGATTCGTCGCGCGATAGGAAGGTCCTATCGATCCACGCACCTGATTGGCGAGCGGGAGTTATCGGGGGATCGACCGGGCGTCGTACGCCAGACGTAGAAGGTGAGAAGAGAAAAGGCGCGGGAGGTGGCGCAAGACGGGTCCAAGATTCAGATGATCAAGAAAGGGAAATGGGCGCGCGAAAGCAAGGCGGGAGAGAGAGAGAGGGAGAAGGAAAAAAAGTTACGGGGAGAGACAAAAAGGAGGGAGAAGGGAAGGGAGGCGCGGGAGGGAGCAATGCGGGGGACAGAGAGGAGGAAGCTTTTGCATGCACGTCGCCGTCAACAAAAAAAAAAAGAAAAAGGCACCGAAACAGTTACAGCTTGCTTCTATACTAATTCAAAATTGAAATCACCATATCCGCGCGCGAAAAAACGACGCGGGAAAAGAAAATCCTACGCCTATTCGTATTCACGCAAAATTCCGAGAGTTCTCCTCGACGCGCCCAAGAACATTCAGACACCAAAAAGGACACGTCGAAGTTCCGCTTATCTCGGAATTCCCAACTACCGAGCCCAATTCCCAGTGCGCTCGCTAAGGCGCACGTAAAATCCCATGTATTTCCCGACTTTGCAAGAAGAAAAACAGAACTCAGCAGTCGAAAAAGCTCTCAAAAAGGAAAATGCGGCACTCGAAAGCAAGAACTCAAAACGGGGTTTTCCTGGGGTTGGTATGATACAAGCAAAAGAAAGGGTATGAAAGATGGCACGGGGGCGGGAAGTGGTTCGTCACAGGTCTGCGCGAAACGGCGTGCAGGTTGGCGTGAAACGGAGCGCGGCCCGTTTTCAGGCTCGGCATCGATAACTGGGCCAAGTACTGGTGGTTTAAACGTAGGGCTAGATCAGACATCACTAGATTTTAAACCACCGTTATCCCAGGGGGTCTTAGGCCCCCTCTGGAGAGGCTGTGATGCAAATGCATATGGAACGGCGCGGCGCTCTCTTGTTATGTGTAGGAGAAGTGTTATGGTGTAGTCCTGGGGGTATGGGTGGTTTTCCTTTTTCTCCTTGTTATGTTTTGTCTGGGAGAAATGTTATGGTGTAGTCCTTGGGGTATGGGTGGTTTTCCTTTTTCTCCTTGTTATGTTCTGTCTGTGGTAGGCTGAAAGGCCAACCTCGGACTCTCGTTTCCCTTATTTATCTTCGTTATGGCTATGCCAAGGGTTGTTGGGGTACAACCCACGAACCTATAATGGGTAATGGTCGCAGATTGCACTGTTTGCGTTTTCCGGGTTGTTGTGAGGAATTCCCGGCCTCGTGGTTTTCATGAAAAAATAAAAAGTGTGGTTCTAATGCATAGAGCATAGCCAGCCGCCTAACTCAGTTAATAAGGCACGCAAGTGGCATTCAGGAGCTCGTGGGTTCAATCCCCATCGGCCTCATGTACCTTCCTGGGCATGCTTGGTGCCCTTCACCTAGAGATAAACCACTGAATCCCCCATCGACATTAAGCAGAAATCTGCTGATGTTCGTAGGGGAGGGGACCACCACCTGAGGGGAGGCACGGGGATTGGTCCTGTTGCTACCGGCTGTCCCCAACTGTAGCCCGTATCGACCTGCCCCCCCATGTTCTCTCGGTTCTGGCTGCTACGCCCTACAATTTTTTTTTTTTTTTTTTTTTTTTAAACTACGCTATATTCTTCTCTCTCAAATCTTTCATCATCTTTCAAATTCTTCCAAATTCCTCTTCACTACCTACCTACCACTACTCCTAAGGCTACTCCTAAGGCTATTTAGAGGGGACCCCTGCAAGCATAGTTTTTCCTCTCACTGTGAAGGGGAGATTTCATGTTGCCCCTTGCCCCCTAATGTTTAGGGTATAGGGTTGGGGCCGCCAGTGGGGGTCTGGCTAACACAAAGACCGAGACCTGCCAGTAGCTGCGCCTCCCTTTCTCATCGTCCCCCACCCCTCATCGAGTAGCCCTACAATTAGGAGTAGTGGTAGGTAGGTAGTGTTAGGTGAAATTGAGAGAAGAACATAGCTTTTGGGGAAAAAAAAAAGGAGTGGTTCTTTTGCTTACGGCATCGCCACACCACTGTCGAAATGTGCAAAATGAGAATGAACTTCCCGCTAGAACATGGCCAGATGCACCCGCCAGATTATTGTCCCTTTCACATTTCGTGCGTGGTGTGGCGATGCCCTTACTCCGCATCTCTGTTCCCAATAAAGCCACACGCTGTTTATTCGGTTTCGATCCAGATATAGGGCATCCCCACACCAGTCTCGAAATGTGCAAAATCAGAATGAACTTCCCGCTAGAACATAACCAGATGCACCCGCCACATGTTTGTCTTTTTCACATTTCGAGAGTGGTGTGGCGAGACTGAAAAAGCATCTGATCCGTTGCTCCACATCTATCTATCCTTATATCTTTTCTATTTATCTATATACGTATACACACTTTTATATATTTACAGCCCCTCGATTGTTGTCCTCTTCTCTCTCTTTGCCTACGGTTTACCAGGCAGTTCTGTTTGACGGATATATATAACTCCGACGAAACAGTTCGTCATAGCCCCTCGTTTCTTGTCCTCTTCTCCCTCTCTGCCTACGGTTTACCGGGCAGCTCTGTTTGACGATATCTATCTATCTATCTATCTATCTATCTATATACAATCTCCCTATTTGTCCAACTAAGCATTACCTACTACCTATCCTTTGGTTATTGTATATCTATCCAATCTATCTATTTATCTATCTACCTATCTATCTATCTATTTGATGAATCTATCTATCTTCAGTCCTTGTTTGGAGGGTTCAGATCAGTTCGAACCGTTGAAGCCTGGGTTAGTTTTGTCCGAGGCAACTGCATCTTTCCCCGTAGGGCTCGGATTTGCTTTACGAATTCCTCCTCTGCCCTCCTATTCTCTTCCATGCGCTTACGTGATCTGTCCATCAGTTGTTTAACGGTTCGCGAGAGATTATCCCTAACTGCTCTTGTACTCTGGGCAATCAACTCCTCCCTGTCGGCATTGGGATCGATGTACAGTTGTTCCACACTTGAGATCAAAGTAGCGATGTCATCATCTTCCTCTTCGTCGTCCTCTCCATCATCATCTCCATCTCCATTTGCATTTGCATGTGCATGCATATTTGCATTTACATTGGCATTGGCATTTGCATGTGCATTTGCATTTTCAGCCTCTCTCCTGATGACCGCGGCACGTGTCACAAAGTTTGCTGCTTTCGACCTGCTGCGGCTGAGAGCAGCATCCAACGGCTGCTTGCGCCCGGATGACGCAGTCGCAGCCGTCGGATACTTGTCGAGCTGATTGTTGCGATACCGATCCCGATTATCAAAGCCAAGAGTTTGCGCAAAACGACTAAGTACAACACCTGTCTCTTCACCGTCGTCCTCCTGACGTCCACCACGGCCTGTATCATCATCTGCAATACCATCTGCATCTCTATGTCCATCTCCATCTCCATCTCCAAATCCATCTCCATATCCATCTCCATATCCAGCATCATCATCGTCGTCGTCGTCATCATCATCATCATGGTAATTGCTATCAATGCTGCTGCTCTCTAGATCATTCTCCTTTGCGGACGCCCATTGATTGACTTCCTCGTCGCCTTCATCCTTCTTGAGAGACAAAGGTTGATGGGGTTGATGATGGTAATCAGAATGGTGATTAGGCTCATCAAGTTGATGACGTCTACTGCCACCTTCGTTGTGATTAGGATGAGGAAATCGCGTCTTCTTGCGGAAGAGCCTGCTGACCGTTACGCCGTTCAATTCGATGAGGTTTCGCAGAACATTCACGCAACTATCCCTGAAACGTTTTCTTGAGCAGCAGGGATTGCCACGTGTATCGAGGAATCGTAAGGACAAGGGAAGACCGTTCGTTGCAGGATCCAGTGCCTGTATCTGGTTGTAGGAGACGTCCAGGAACATGAGATTTTTCAACGCCAACATTCCTTCGATTTCTCGTAGACGATTGCTGGAAACCGTCAGAAACCGTAAATTGACAGCAGCCTCAAGGGGCTTAATACTCTCAAGAAGGTTGTGCTGGAGATAGAGGTTGGTGAGATTGGGTAATAACGGCAAGAGGGCGCCGTCGATTCGCGCAATCTTCTCTCGATCGAGTTCCAAGTGTGTCAATTTCGACACCGCTAACTCAACGTCTTCGATCGGATTCTGATCAATGAAGTCCTCTGCGAAAGATCGGTCTATGATCATAGCCATGGTGATGTTGGTAGAAGGATCGTTCGAAGAAGAATCGACATGGCTCGTCTCATCAACAAGAGGAGGAAGAAGCTGACCACGGCCATCGCCGTCAAGATCGTTAGCGGCAATCGCAGCAGCGATGGTGGGCGGAGCAGCAGGGCGGTGATACATGCTAGGTGGCTTTCGTTTTTTTCTATCTTTATTTTTTTCCTGGGGGGCAAACATTCTGTCGATAGAGTGCGCGCGCGCGCGCACACACACACACACACACACACACACACACA